GAAAGATCCCGGTGTCTTGTCAGGAAACCAACTGCTGGATGAATCGGAACTAACCGAGTAGGTACCAACCGCGAGGGTTGGAGTACGACAGTTGCGGTGAATCTTACTTCCAGGTTACTCCTTGCAGAATCTCAGAGTCCTTTTCTTGCTAGTACATGATCCACCACGGTTTATGACGGAGGGAATGCATATTCTGACTGTCCTTAGGCAGAATCATCTTTTATTTTTTTGGCAGAATCATCTATACCGGTAAGAGCCCTGCTCCAGTTCAGGAAATGTGTACCGGAGTTGATCTTTCAGCAACGTTAGAAGTTTTATCCCAAGAGGTGTGACAGATAGGAATCCCATGGTTTCCAAAACCTGAAGCTGGGACACTTGGGAGTCTCACAGTTGGAAATTGGGCAAACTGAAAAAGAGCTTGCAGCTTCCATTGCGACAAAATATATGTTGATATTTTGAGAATCGAAATGCATAGTGGAAGCTGAACCACTGTGAAAGTCCTCAGTGTTGGCGCATGCTAAACTCAGCGAAGGATCAGAAAACCTTGAATCATCACAGTGATCCTCGGATATTGATGTAACCACCCCCACTCCCCCCCCCGAAAAAAAGGGTATCATCATATCATGACTGCCACACACCCTTTTTTTTTTTAATACAAAAATTTGGACCATTTCTCGATTTATGCGTGTCATCCTTGTGCAGGGACCATGCTAATCTTCTCTGTATCGTTCCAATTTAACGGATGTCCCAAAGGACATGACTGGCACACACCTTAAAAAGTTCAAAACAATAAATAAAAGAAGAAAGATTGGAGACCTGAGGAAGAGATATTGGATACCTCAATGGCATTGGCCAACCTGATGCAATCTGCCGCGTGAATGCATGCAAGCCAGTCCCTGAAGAATCCCCCTCAAGAGTTTTGTAACGAAGATCCAACGACGCCGGATCGGTCGTTTTCTGTCGAAACGATCAAATATTTCTCCTTCTCCAAGTGCCATTCCTTCCGATGATGCTTGAGCAGCAGCCAAGGCATAATCTGCTGCAGTAATCGTCCCATCATTCCTGAACACAAGCCACTGACAGCAACCCAACACCAGATCACATCCTGCGCAATGAGAGACCTCAAGATCAAATTGTACTGTCTAAACAAGAAAAGAACACTTCAAGTTGGACTTCCACCCAGCAGAATAGGGTGAGTTTGTTAATCTGGGAAGGGGCAGTGGCAAGAAACTGGTTTCTCTCCGTGAGTCTGAAGTTAAATTAGGCTACCAATTACGGACAAGTCTGAGGACCCACAACCACTGATAGCTAAGAGATGGGAAGAGCACAATCGATGTACTCTATACCATGGGAATACTACAGTGGATTTAGACCTCAAAGCAGGGTTGCATACCCCGACCGCTGGCCCCCTTGGCTGGTTGGCACCTACCGGTTGGGGGTCGTCGGCACCTACCGGTCAGGGGTT